GCTAGAAACCGGGTTTCGATACCCGTGATGGGCAGAGCACAGATAACCCATGGTGTAGTTTTGTGCTTAAATTCAAACAAACATATTTTGAAATACTGATCAGAGAATGTGAAGACACCCAGCAGTACCTGCCGCCTCAAGGACTTTATCCGCCTCTTTGAACAGACTGAAACTTTTATAACATGGCCAAGCTGAAAGTGCAGAGCGTGGTCAGAAGCATCACGTCTCGAAGTATTCACTCAGGTCCGCAGCCATACACGTTAAGTACTAAAGTAACAACACCACACCCAGCTATTAAAATTTATATTTTGATATAAAAAAATAATAATTTTTATCGTAAATAACGTAAATGGAGGGGAAAAAAATAACAACCAATCTTATGTTTGTTCTTACTAGAAAATCGTAAGGACGAAAAAGAAAGTTAACAAGCGAATTGATATTCGACCACAAAAGCATTTTTTATCGGAAAAACCGAAAAAAAAAGGAAGATGAAAGAAAATTAACAAACGAATTTAAAACTAGCGTAGGCAACATTAAGATAGTCTATGCTGAAGAACGTTTTGGAAGTTTCATCAGACCCCTCGAACGACTGAATAACATAATAAGCAAGCTCCTTAAGCCTTAACAACATCAGGTTTTCCTGTTGTAATAATAGAAGTCTGTGTGTGTAGTTCCTTTCTTTAATAATTATATACTGCGTGTGTGTGTGTGTGTGTGTGTGTGTGTGTGTATCAAATTGTATATCGAAATTAATAACAAATAATATAAAACAAATAACAAAACATTCTAATTGTTCTCCTAATTTAAAATTAATTAATGCCTTTTGCTCCTTGGTCATAATCGTAACGCACATAAAGCATATAATTTCCAATTAATTTTGGGGTTTCACTTGACTCAACGTTCAGTAAGGATATCATCTTATTTCAAACCTCACGAACTCATTATTAATATACGCTACAACTCGATCTAAGTTAGTCAAAATTAATGGTTGCTGTAATTTTAAACATGACATGAATTGAAATAAGCAAAACTTGAACAGAAATTAGAAAACAAATCTGTAAACTCAGCAACAAGTTACGAATATTCACTAAATAAAGTGATTAAGTAAGGTTTTGAGTGTTTGTCAGAACACACAAGAAAAATGTAGGAACGTGTATCAATACTGTTCTTAGAAAACTATTGGTTAGCTACTTCGCTGGTTCTTTTATTTTGTTTGTTTGTTTGAATTTCGCGCAAAGCTACACGAGGGCTATCTGCGCTAGCCGTCCACAATTTAGCAGTGAAAGACAGTTAGTCATCACCACCCACCGCCAACTCTTGAGCTACTTTTTTGCCAACGAATTGACCGTCACATTATAACGCCCCCCACGGCTGAAAGGACGAGCATGTTTGGTGGTACGAGGATTCAAACTCGTGACCCTCAGATTGCGGGTCGAGCGCCCTAACCACATAGCCATGGCAGGCGGTTCTTTTTTATTTCATTAGGTACTGTTTCATTTTATACGAAGTCGTCTGGAACCGGTAATAACCACGTGCTGGCAATATATGAATACACATATCCCTTATCAACCAATGTTTTGGACAATGCCTAGCAACACAAACAAATTCTGAAAAACAATTTTCGTCCAAATCACTACTCAAACTAAATACAAGTATTTTATATGTTGTATTCACTGTCTTGTCCGTTATAAACAGGAATGTTTTATGTGTTGTGTTATACGGTACTAGTCTTTCTCAGAGTTCTCACTTTACCTATACAAAACGTTGTATAAAGCGTTCTTTCACACAGTTTGGACACTA